AAAACTCACAATCGGAGATTCCTTAAGTCGGTTTTGTCTAACTTTTTCAATATATAAAGAAGAACTTTATCTGGGAAGTCAAGAATATGTTTTGATTTTTGGCGGTCAGTTGTTTCTTCGTCTTGTATCGGCACATCGTCGGACAAGTCTGTTATTTTAATTACTACTTCAAGTTCTATCTTACTGTGAGTTCTTTTTCTAGGGTTGCTTTCCAAAGAAGTCGAAGGTTTGTCCAGGTTCATTTTTCTTTATTTCTTGTATTTTTATATGAAAAACAATTAATACTAAGAAACAGGAAAATAAAACTAATTTACATCTAAAAAAATATCAAATATTATTTTGTTTGTGATATACTTACGTTTAGTACTACTAACGGCGATGGTAATGAATGTAAACGTTTGATATGTCGAGAAATGGAACACACGTTTATTTTATTTGGTTGATAGGAGCTGAACACAATGCCGTAAGTCCGGGACATAAACATTCTTTTTAAATTGTAACTGCTATTCCCACATCTTCTTATTCCAGCTTATAGTGTGCTATTTTACCTGTCAGTTTTATTATCTTTGGTTGACACACTACTACGTCATACTGTGAATATATATATATGTATACATATGTATATATGTATAAAGATATATAAACATATATATATATAAATATATATATATATGTATATGTGTGTGTTTCAAATATAACTATAGATTCCTACATTTTCTACTCACAGTATGGTTGGTTGGTGTAATGGAGAATTACTGCATCTTTTTCTCTATTTAAAGTTTATACAAGATAGATATTTTTATTTTCACGATGAACTGATTAACTGTACGAATAGTAAATTAAGTATACTTGGTAGTGTGTGTTGAGTTGTAATAAACACGGAATTAAAAAAAACGGGCCTTTTGTCACAAACAATTTATAAACATATTTCATGGTTTGCAATATTGTTTGCTATGTAATAAGTATGAATAAAAATTAGACAAATTAAAAACTAACGATAAAGTAAATACTTGGATTATCTTCGACCAATATTTTGTCGCATCACACAGTTTTAGTATTTTCTATTTAAATCGATAACGTAACCAACATGCAATGTACTTTTTATCTTTTATTACAAAGTATAACCTTGATAAAAAACAGAGAATACGTGTTGCAGTAATCGTTTGTTGCAATTTATATCACAGAAGAATATTTTTCTTGCTTTACTTACAGTTGTTCGAATTATTGCCGTTAATTGCAAAATATCACATCGTGTTGTATAGAACAAAGCAGGAACCATATAATGTACTGCTATCGGTCGATTTACATAAGTTTGTAAAAGTAAAAAAAAAAAACAAACAATGCAAATAGTTTCTTTTAACACCGATTTAGTCGCTAGTTTTAAACATTTTTAAATTACATTGTTGGTACGACTTGTTTTATTTAACACGTGTAACGATTATTAAAAACAGTATTAATATCAAATGAGTATGAGTAAAATTGATCAAAACTATGATACTTCTTGTGCTTAAAACATTTTGTATTATTGTGTATAAGAAGATAACAGACGTATATAGTAATTACTACAATGCATACGTTACAGTATTAATATTATTAATAGTATCATATACAATAATAAAAACGTAAAATTATGGATGCACTATTATTTTGTTTTAAAAATAATAATGATGCATTTTTTCTACTGAATGCCGTCGTCAAAACAATTAGTACAAAAAACAAAATTACGGTCTTTGTTTTAAAGAGTCACTGGGTATTATAGTGTACAAATCGTAGTAATCGTTCAACTTTTTTGTTCGCAATGCGTAATCACTTAATCACATGTGTCGCGCGATTGCACACGTAAAACTACACGCATTGTGGCAATGTTCTTATAGAAATTTCACTAATACGCACAAATATTTTAGAAAGAAAACAATATTTCATTTCTTTACACTTTTTACACGCAAGTACTATAAGATTCACACGAACTACATCGAAATGTTTTAATTATTTTTTCGGATCTGAATTTTTTTCTTTTTTTTAACTTTGTGTTTATTCTTCTGATGCTCAAGTATGACAATTTTCTTGATAATCAAATTGTACATCCATAGATACTAAAATATAAAGGTAATAAACGCGCGCGTCACATTAGTAAAAGCGTCGAGTAGCCCGAAAATGGCCGTAGGCATATTTTATGTGTTCCCTGTTCTTGAACGCGGCAATTAAACACGCGTTTTTTATTTGTGTCCACAAAGCAATTTAGTGAATATAAAGTGCTATACTTTCGCAATTTCTGGTTGCAAAGTAAGAGCAAGTTTCTTTCTATTCATGTAACACACATAAATTAAAAAGCAGTTGTATATTAAATCAAAAGTTTAAAAAAAAAACAGTAACAAATACTATGTCGTAAAAATAAGGCTGTGTTGCTTCTACTGTGCGGTCCATAATGTTTGTATCACTTTTTAGGCTTACAAATAAAAACTTAACAACCAACATATATTCATATGTATAATACATATATTTATATATTATTTAAATAAAATATAAAAAATAGATTATAACTGTCGAAACAAGTTATATAAAATATTATTATATTGAGTTTTTTGTTTTATTAGTTTTACGACTTGTTAGTTGTTATAGTCACTTTTTTTTGTAATGTAATACACAATCACAATTTGTTTATAATGAAAGAAAAGATTCTTTGTAGTTTTATATTTGTTGTTATTTTACTATCTATTTTATTTTAATATTAAAGGTTACAAGTTTTATAACTAGTGCAATACAACTCAAGTTCAGTCTTCATAGACGGATCTTAGTATAAGTTTATCACAGTTTCTCACAGTAGTCAATGAAACATTCCGCGCGTACACAAGTATAAAATAAAAAAATTCAAGTTACAATAATCTTACTTCTAAGATCACACTTTTACTAATTGCGTTTCTAGTGTCGATATGTCACGAAAATATCAATTGTACAAAATCAATGAGTACATACTTAAACTTGATTATTTTCTATATGTTCTATAAAAATTTATATAAATTAATTATGTTTCTGTTTCTTTTTCTAGATCTTAACGCTATAACTTTATAAGTTTTTATATTAAAATAATTTAAGATGTAACAAAGTTTAGTAATAATTATAATTGCAGTTACAATTATTACGTTTACATAATTGTGATTTTGCACAAGTATTTTTTCCAAGTACAACAATTCATGTTTTGTTACAATTACTCAGATAATTGCAATGTCAAGTAATACTTGTTATCCAGATATAAAACGATTTTTATTTCTAGCTTGTTTCTTTTATACTCTATGTCACTTTGATTACGTTTGAATAGTCATCTTCTTATAGACTTTAACTATAACTTTAATATTATGTAACAAACGATGAAGAAATTTTAACATTAGGTCTTTGTGATTTAAAGTTTTTAACATCTTCTAGAGTTACAGAACAACCAGTTATATCCAATTCTTTCAAGTTTGGTACTGTCGACGCCAAAATAGTGATATCCGTTTTAGTAATATGCGAATAATGTCTGAAAAGAAAGGAAAGCATCGGTATTTATAATATGTTTTGGTTTTTGACTGTTTTGGGTTTTGTTTTCTGCAAGTACAATTTACCTAATACATACTGTCTCCAAATTATTACATCTACTTATATAGTGACTAATATTTGACAAAAAATAGTTTTGGAACAAATCGTTCCTAAAACTGATTATTTCTTCCACTCTGTTTTCGGCAAGTAGAAGCTAAATCAAAATAATTTATATTGTTATCATATACTGCGCATCAAGAAAATAGTGATTTTTTAAATAATAGTGTGGATTGCGTGCACGTGTTTGTATATTTGTAAAAGATAAAAAATAAAGAAAGAGTGAGAAAGCGAGAAAGAGAAAGAGAGAAGACATACTTCCACTTTAGATTGAAAGGTATAAAGTTTCTCATCAAACAGACGGAACCATATTTCTGATTCCGAACGTAATGTTTTTAAATCTTCTAATGATTCATTTGAACATTCTTTTCTTAAATATTTAGGGCATTCTAGATACAGATGCTTTAAAGATTTAAGTCGACAAAACTCTCCAACTAGACGAGTGTCAACTGCCGTGTTCCGTAAGTCTAAAATCTGTATAAAACAAATTTCTTTAGAAAACTATGTTTTTGTAAACATGTAAACATGAATTCAAAATTTTTTATATATGAGAGTAAGAAACATTACCTCTAATGTTTCGAAATTACATATAAAATCGAGTATCTTTATCTCCGAAGGAGATTCATGTATACGAAGACACGAAGTTAGTCTAAGTTCGTTAAGGTGTTTTAGTTTACTTATATCTCTCAGAAAAATCGGCGTAATATGACATAGAACACTGTTTAAAATCAAGCACTAAAGCTTCAAGTTATAATCCAACATCGAATATCAAATTTGTGATACAGTATTGTGTTGTTTTAAGATAAACAGTCGATATTAACTTACTTTTATATTGGGAACAAATGTACATATTTCATCAAAGAAATGGGATGAAATGTCCCATAAAGGATAACACATATGTGTATCTATGAGCCTCTTGAAAATTACACATCGTTTTAATTCAAGTTTGTCAAGAGTTAGCGGAAACTTCTGTATAGTAACCTAAAATCAATTTTAACAAATATGCATTGTTTTGTAAAATATAGAAAAATAAAAACTAAAAAAAATATAGAACATGCTATACATGAAGTATGTCTTTCAAGGTGCAATACTCTAAAAAAATTAGATGTACGTAGATGGTTTGATACGTTTGGTAACTTTCTATGATATGGTAACACAATTAATTTAAGTATACGACGCTTAAACAGTTTTATTCCTCACACCAATTTAAGCTCAATTTCAAGCAGAAGTTACACGCTGGTCACATTCTGTAATTGTTTGAAGCAAGCGATTTACTAGTACTTGTCATACAAGTGAATGAAAACGACAAAAAATAGTTACAATGGCAGATTTTCTCACTTAGGAACAAGTAAAAGTCGCACGAAGTCGCAAACTTGAAAAATAGAATAAATGAGGACTTAATTGGAAGTTAAATTTGTAAACCATTTTTTTCATGTTTTGTCGTTTTTTTCATTTTTACGAATTGCTATATTCCTCGCTTTAAAGGAATACGGATTGTAAACAACGCATCATATTTTGCTGAAATGTATCTTGAAAAACTTTAAGGAATAAAACTTTCCAGGCGTCATATAATTAAATGTGGCACTATATCATAGACATTTACCGACTTTATCAAACCACTCATCTATTTTGATGTAGTTTTGCTAGAGATATATTTAAGTGTTTTATATATACTTCAAGATTAATAAATACATAATATAATGCTTTGTATAAAACTCTTTTATTCTATACTTTGGTGTTTTTCAAAAGAAAATAGTCCTTGTAAATCACTTTATGTTTATATATATATATATATATATATATATATATATATAATTAATAAAAACACAAGCCCTTGAATTATCAACAAGAATAGTATTCTATTAAGAATAGTAGTATTTACTAGATTAAGTGACATACTGGTATGATATACCACCACTCGTGAACAGCATCTATCATTTATCAAAATAAATATTTATAAACATAAATGTTTACCTCATCTGTATTAAAATAATATTCTTCAATACTCAATTCCTTAAGCATCCGGCATTTTTGTAAGGTAAAAAAAAGTAGAGGTTCAATAGGATTTCTATAAAATGATATTTTAACAGTATCTACGATACGGTTTCTACGATAGAAAGTACCACATAGTGCTAAGCAAACTGTTAACGGTTCTAATATGTGTTCATACTGAACAAACGGATAAAATTCGAGCAAATAAGACTTTTTACGATAGTCCATAGTCCAGAACGATTTATCTAATGCTAGTCTTGATAATCTGTAACAACATCTATAAGACAACAAAAAACTTAAAAATAGTTCTATTCTAAGAAATATGAAATATACATAAGGCGAGTATATAATAAATATCTCAAACGACTGTATGTTGACGAGCTGTGTCACACAAACACTACGTGCGATAATAAAACCTACGTGTGACATTTGTAATTCTGAAGGATAAAACTTATGAACGACGACAATGTTTTACTAATCTGAGTTCAAATCAAGAAGAGAACCTAACTCTACTACTATGCATAGAGGAAAAAACGCGGTCAAAGTAAAATAGCAGAACACCTACTGACAGTCAATGGTCGTGGAGTGGTGAAAATTTCTGGTCGCAGGAAGAAAAATGCGCAAAACAAACAAGTTTTTATACATTCAATTTCTCTTATCGATTTAAACTCAGTATCGCAATGCATCGTTTCGGATGATGATACTTCTCAATCGCCTCACGTAAAGAATAATCTACAAATAGAAACAACTTACAATCTAAGATTTTTCAAATCTTTTCTGTCTACATATTTCATTATATAAAGTAGAATTTCATTTGGTAGGTCAAGAAGATTTCTTGTTTGCTGCACTGGTTGCTTTTGTTTTTTATCACTTTTTATTTCGAGTTCTGTATTACTTCTGGTTCTTTTTCTAGGTTCTTCTTTAAAAAAACTAAAAGATCTGACCGGATCCATTTTTACTTATATTTGCACCTATATGAAAATCAAGTAAAAATTAGAAAGTAGTAAGATAAGCACATATACATCTCAAAACTCTAAATTATTTTGTTTGTGATATGCTTACGTTTGATAAAATTAATAACGGTGATTGTCGAACCACGTGTAGCGAGACGTGAAGATCTTAATCGACGTCGGGACACGTAACGTACGTGTATATCTTTGTCAAACAAACTGAACACATTGACTCAAGTCCGAGACATAAACTTTTTTTTTAAATTTTACCTGCCATTCGTACAGAAACTTTTTATTCAAGCCTATAGTGTGCTATTTTAACTGCCAGTTTTATTATTTTTGTTTATTCTAATTGAATAAACACACTAGTTACATCATACTGGCTTTGCACGTGTGCCACTTCTTACATCGATTCTCATGAAAAGTTCTACGCTAAGTATTCGTATTACTAAATCTAGTAAAACTTTTCGAAATTTCGAGAGGTGCGGTTTGGCGCTTTGACTATAGAAATATAGACTAATAGTAATTACAGTCGAACCTCGATAACTCGAACTTCAAGAGAAGAGCTAAATTCTTCGAGTTGTAGAGATTTGGACTTATCGAAGTTCCTTTTTTCTTTTCGCGTAGTGAAAAAGAATAAACAAACTTTTTGTCTTTCAGAGATTTTCGAGTTGTCGAGGTTTGACTGTATCTCGGTAGCTGCGCTTACGAGATATTTAGATTCTTTAATTGGTTACTTTTGGTTTAGTGCTTTTATGGCTCAGTGGATTTATTAAGCTAGTTCATACGGCATTCAGAAATTTATTACTTTTATTTCCGTTCCGAGAAAGTGTCGTAGAATACTTCTTGCTTCAATGGTTCTACAATTTAGAACGCGTTCTGTCTGATTCTTATTTGTGAAGATTTTGCAATGCGAGAAAATAGCGATAGCGACAAGCAAAAAACACAGAATTCCAACTCGTCGAAAATTTTATCGTTATTGTTTATTCTGTTCTCTAATCTGTATTTATGCATGTGTATTTAAAAAAAAAAAATAGTGAAGTCTGCTGTTCTTATCGTTATTTATAATTATGAACCTTATAAAGCCAATGGATGGTATATTTTTAGCGCTTCTGTTATTTCTTTGCATTGCGCAAGCGGCTTCACAGCGACACAAGGCGTCCTTTGTATACTGGCGCTCCAGTAAATCGGTGCTTTTGCGCGCTTTAATTAAATACACTTGACGCGTATTCGTGACGGCGCGCACTAGCGCAATAATCGAACTGCATTCTTTAAATAGATGATCACATTGCGCGACTGTGTGATGAGTACTGATAGTGAATATCGAATCGCAGTCAAGAGTAATCATGGTTAAGTTTTGAAACGTATAAACCAGTGTGTACAGAATACAACAAAAGCAAATATAAATATATATTATGTAACATTACTTAATCATGAATGATGTAAAGTAAAGATTTTAATATTATATATACAGTAGAACCTCGTTAACTCACATCTCAAGGGAAGAGCTAAAATTGTCGAGTCGTAGAGGTTTCGATTTATCAAAGTTCGTTTTTCCTTTCCGCGGAAAGCAAGAGAATGAACAAAATTTTCGTTCTATAGAAGTTTTCGAGTTATAGAGATTCGAGTTATCGAGGTTTGACTGTATTGTATAAATTTTAAAAGTATATATACTGTACATATATATAATACAATAACCTATAATTTAACAGTCAGAAAAAGTATATAACGGTAATTATTTTTCTAATGACGTTATTATTGTACACAGCTTTACGACTTGTCATTTTGTGGTCGATGCTTTCTGTTTGATATGATAAAAATAAAAGTTAGCTTATAACCAAAAATACTGTAGTGTTTCATATTTAGTTTTATTTTCATAATTACATTTACAACTTACAAAACTGTTGTTGTAACGCAAACAATTCAAGTTCAATGATTTAAGCTGATATGCATAAAGTTTAAGCTTATTCTAACAGTATCATAATTTTCCACAGTAGTCATTAAACGAGTCTGCGCGTTCACTAACTCAATAAGTAATGAATATTAAACTAAAATCTCATCATCAAACAAAGGCATGTATTCTTCATACTAAAAGTTTTGTAACTCTTTTAATGAATTATTTGACAATTCTTTCCTTAAATATTTAAGACATTTTTAATACCGTTTTCTTGAAGATTCAATTTGACAAAACGATTTAATTAGCCTATCTTTTACTACTGTGTTTTGAAAGTCTAGAGTCTCTAAAAAAATAAAAAAGAAAAAACCACGCCTCTAGAAAAGTATGCTTTCCGCACACTTTTGTGTTCTTTCTTTTCGAATTACCTTCGTATATAAATTGCAATTCCACTCAAACGAACATGAGTAGTATATACATAAAGAAAACAACATTAACGCTTTAAAAATACAAAATCGCGCTGATATTTGTAAGATTTATAGTTTCAAAAAAAAAATAGCTTGGCCTTAATTCTAGAAATTTCTCACTGTAAAAAATAATACATCCATTTAAAAACACAAAAAACAAAAAGAAAACTAGTTAACGATTTATATGTCTCTATACGCGATTGAATTCTCTTTTACTCATATCATATTGTAAATTTCAATACACACAATATCTTGCGACAATAAATATATATTGAATGTTACGAACAACATTATCGTGTACTGACTTTTTATTTGTAGTTTTTTTTTTTGTACCGATTTTCTACCCCTTTCTCTTTCTAAATTATACGTATATGTATATAATTTTATACCAGGTTAATTAATGTTTACTTATCTAAACATAACAAAAAGCATAGTGCAAACTAAAAATTTACTTGATTTTACATCTGTCTACCATAAAAATTAATTTTTTTTGTAGTTTTAAAATGCAGATGATCAAGTAATCTTGCATATACATAATTCACTTAGAGGATATTACAAATGATTTTGTAAATCTTTTCAAATAGCAATAAATGACTTCTTATTTAAAGATTATATTTGAAGAAATATATTTTTCACATAATTGTTTTCTATCTGCTTGTCGAAAATCCACAAGAAACTATACACCAAGATGCATTCTTTTAACTGCAATTATAGTGCCAAAAAAGAAACTTAAATAAGCACCAACGTATGAAAACATTGCCGCAAACTCTGCGACGCAATGATAATTCTTCATCATCATCCAACTTCGAAATTGCTGCGGGATATTTGCTCACATCTCGAATTCCAAAGGTTAAATGGCAAAAGATATTAGAAAACAAAGCTGTCAATCATGTTATTGACTCTGTTTTTGCGACCTAAGTTAGCGATCTATGTATAATAATGTGAAGACTTGCAATGCATTCGATTGGATGCACTAGTGCGCAATGAGTGCGTTCTGGTTCAGGATGTAGTAAAATAATAAACCTGGAATATTTTACTACACATTGAAAGAAAACGCACTAGTGCATCCAATCGCATTTGTCGTAAAAAGCAAATATCTACATGTCTTCATTCTGGTGAAAAAATAATAATGATACATATTTGCTACCAAATAACGGCAAGAAAGTCTAACCAAAGAAATCACGATCTTTGTCCTGGCAAGTCGCAAGGTCTTATCTAGAGCATCAAATCTGTGATCATCCAACCTCAATAATTACACTACACCGTGTGACCACTTAATCAAATGTGCCTTACAACTAAAACTTTTCAAACAATATACCATAAACTATATTTAATAATATATTTATATAACATATACAAACTATAATATACCAGTCAAGATAATTATTAAGTTACAAATACTTCCTTTGATTTCAATAGTATTACGACTTGTCATCTTTTGTGGTTGCTTCTTTTTCTTTGGCGTACTAGAATCAAAAAGTTGATTATAACCAAAAATCATTGTTTTTGCGTTTTTCATGTTTGATTTTACTTTCATACTGATGTTTACAAGTTAAAAATATGTTGTTGTAATGCAAACAATTTCAGTTTAGTCTTTTAGGATAGCATGTATACATTTTAAGTTTATTTTCAGTTTATCACAGATTATCATAATTGTCAATAGCCGAGTCTGCGCGTCCACAAACTTAAAACGTACTGAATATAAAACTTATCTGAACTATAAGATCATACTTGTTTTCCTTGCGTTTCTAGTGTCAATATAATGTCACGAAATCAACTATTTAAAATCCATAAGTACATACCTAAACTTGATTCTCTTTTATCAGTTTTATACAAATCTGTATAAAATACTTTTGTTTCTATTTTCTCTTACATCTTAAAAGTATAAGTTTATAAGTTCTCATATTAAAATAAGGTAAACTGTTACAAGATGTAGTAATAACTATAAGTGCAATTACAATTATTACAATTCCGTAAATGTAAACGTTTTGCACAATTACTTTCTTTAGGTACAATATTTACAGTTTTGTTACACTTCTTCAAATAATTGCAGCGTCAAGTGATATTTTCTATCGGGATATAAAACAATTTTCGGTTCTAGATTTTTTTTAAATCTTTTAAAATGACATATTGACTGAATCTGCTATAATCATTCATACAATTCATATCGTGTACTAAATGAAGAATAAATTTTAACCTTAGGTCTTCGTGACTTAAAATGTTTAACATCCTCCAAAGTTACAGAACAACCAGTTATATCCAACTCTACCAAGTTTGATAATGTCGACGACTGGATATTGATATCCTTTCTTGTAACATGTGAATAATGTCTGAAAAGAAATAAAACGTTCAGTATTTAAAATATTTTTTTTGTTTCCTGTATTTACAATTTACCTAATATGTAATATCTTCAAATTAGTACATCTACTTATACAGCGACTAATATTTGACAACAAATAGTTTTGAAACTGATTGTTTCTGTACATGAGTATTTCTTCAAATTTGTTTGTGTCAAGAAGAGACTATAGCAAAAGAACTTATATTATCATTCAGTGCGCAACAAAATATTTATAACTTTTAGTAATACTATTGTTTGATACACATAAGAGTGTATAATTGAGAGACAAAAATAAAGAAAACAAATAAAAACAAAAAACGTACTTCTACTTTACATAAAAAGTTAAAAAGCTTTTCATCAAAAGTACGCAAAGAAATGTATTCTTTGTAATAAAAGTTTTGTAACTTTGCTAATGATTTCTTCAAAGAATGTAATAATTTATATGAACATTTCTTCCTAAAATATTTAAGACATTGTAGATACACTTCCTCTAAAGATTCAATTTGACAAAACCATTCAACTACTCTATGTTCTACTAGTGTATTTCTAAAGTTTAAAAGCTATAAAAAAATAAACCAGAAAAAAATGTTTGTAGAAACGTGTGCTGTCAGCTGTAAAAAAAAACAAAAGTGTACAGTAATATTAATGTTTTGAAATAAACATTACTTTTAGTTTGTGGCATTTACAAGTGACAGTGACTAAATCTATGTCTGAATTAAATTCTTGTATACGAAAACATGATCTTACGTAAAGTTTTAGAAGATCTGTAAAATTACTTATACTTGACAGAAATGTCGAATATGACATATTCCATAGAACATTAAAGAAATGCAAAGACTAAAAGTTATATTTTTACTACAATATTGTGTCGTTATAAACAATGTGTGTGTTTATAATGCAATACAATAGATATATAAAGATACGTAAAATATGTAAAATATGTGTATAATATTATGACTTACTTGGACATGGGGAACAAATCTACATATTCCACGAAAAAAATAGGTCAAATTAAATACCAGGCCAATACTAGAAAAAGCTATACAGTTGGAGAAAAGAAGACGTACAATATTTGTTGACATCTCTGGCGTAACCTAAAATCAAGTTTACTAAAGTGACATGTATATGTATATACTAAAAGTGAACACAAAAATTTAACTAATTTACAAATTGCATAACCACATATTTATATTTATATTTATAACCACATAAATAATGCTATACGTAGAGTGTGCCTCGCGTAATAGTACTACAAAATTGTCAACTGTACTTTGATCGTGCTATATTTGTCACAAACATATTTGATGATATATCATACGATTATTATCAGTATTATCAGTCTAAAAGTAGTTAAACGTAACAAACTGTACTTCTGGAAGTAACAGTACTTTTTATATGTATTGTGCTACGTTTAAAGACAGCGGTAGAATATCGTATACAAACATTAGATTTTACATTTTGTTTGACTACTTTTTTTAAGAAATTGAGGTTTTGCACACAACACTTTATATACAAATAATACGTAATATACGATTACATCGTGAGCAATTGAGTTTCAAACGGTTAACGCATTTTATTCTAGCATTAGAAATGTGCTACTACTTGAGATTAAAATTGTACCGCATACAAAATTAAGTAAAAAAACTATCGTATTTTATTCTTTTAATAACTTATACGATTGAGTTGGTTGTTCTATGTGTACATACTGTGTAAATATTTTTATAAAAAGTAAACCATACCTCATCTAAATTAATTAGATAGTTCTTAAGTTTTAATTTTTGAAGTATCTGGCATATTTGATTTACGTGAAAAAAAACGAACGTTCAAGGATATTTTCTGTTTTTTGTTCGAAATCTCCACGTATTTTCAAGATATGTGTTAATGGTTCTAAAAAGGTTTCATACGGTTCCATTTGAGACGGAAGAATAGATTCATTGCTATAGTCGTAAGTCCAGAAAAATTCATGTAGTGCTATTCTTTAAAATTTTGTGCAACATCTATAGGAATTAAATTCCACAAAAAAAATATATATATAAATATTATATATATTATTCATAATATATATATATATATATATATATATACATATATAAATATATATATGTATATATTAGCTTTAAAAATATAAAATATAACTCAATTTTTGCAACGAGAGACGAGTGATAATATTCGAAACGACTATGTATAGTGGTACGAACGTTACATATAAAATATGTGTACTAATAAGTTTGTTGTTTTGAAAGATACCGTTTGGCAACAACAGCAAAGTCGTACTTCTGTCGCTATCTATGCATAGTTTCGGATATGTATTTATCACTTGTTTCATGTAACTAAACAAAACTCACAATCTGAGATTTCTCAAATCTTCTTCGTCTACATGTAGGAATATACGAAGTAAAAGTATATCTGGGCAGTCAAGAATATTTGTTGCTTGGCGTTCCTTTGCCTCTTTCTTTTGTATCGGCACATCGTGTTCTTGCTGTTTCGTTTGTTCACTTTCTACTTCAAGTTCTATGTTACTGTGAGTTCTCTTTCTAGGTTTTCTTTTTGAAGAAGTCGAAGGTTCGTCCGGGTTCATTTTTCTTTGTTTCTTGTGTCTTTATATGAAAAACAATTAATACTGAGAAACAGGAAAATAAAAGTAATGTACATTTGAAAAATCAAATATCATTTCGCTTGTGATGTGCTTACTTTTAGTACTACTAACGGCGACTGTGAAGAACTTAAACTTTCGAAATGTCGAGAAATGTAACACACGTCTAATCTTATTTGGCTTATAAGAGCTGAACACAATGCCGTAAGTCCGTTTCATTAACGTTCTTTTTGAATTTTAACTGCCATTCTTACAACTTCTTATTTCTGCCTATGCTGTTTTACCTGTCAGTTTTATTATCTATGTTTATCTTTGATTGACACATTACTTACGTCATACTGTGAATGTGTGCCACTTATAACTATAGATTTCTTCTTTTCCTACTGACAGTATTGTTGATGTAATGGAGAAATACTGCACCTTTGTCTTTATTTGAAGTTTATACAAGATAGATATTTTTAAATTAAGTAGGAGGGTATACGGAGTCTCTCATATATGAGATGCAAAAGTAGCATACGAATTTTAAGAGTAAAATTTCAATTCAAAAACTTCACGTGTAAGATTTACACGTGGACACGTATACATATGTGTACATTTATATATACACGAATATTATCGCAAAACTTTCAGCGAATTATTGGCTTTTAATGACCGATTTACATGTACTTATAAATATTCCCACAGAGCACACTTTATCGTAGGGATTTCTACAGACAGTATTATGGGATATCGCAATATCCATAAGACATCCTAAAATGATCTTAGATATCTGAGAGATGTCCATAAGTTGTACTAATGTCCGCTTTAGTGATATCTTACGAATAATATAGATAATGTTCAAAAAGTATCCGAGGGAACTCTAGAATTATCGTACGATATAATCCCACATAGCACTTAATATTATTGCAATTATAGAAATATTACCGTAATGTTAATGTAATATCTAAATGTCAGTAATATTTAAATGTCAAAAACATTGATCTTTTCTGAAATATTTGTAGTTGTTTGCAAAATTACTTTTCAAATACTATTGCGGCAAAAGAATAACGATATGGCGAATCATCTTAGCAGTATATTTGCAAAATTACTTTCACAAAGAAAGTGTCCAATAATTGAGAAAAGAAATTTACCTATGTGATGTTTAAAATATGTAGAAATATGATTGCATATAAAGAAATGCAAGAAGTCGTCGTCACTTGTGATGTCATATTTTGCACTATTTTCACAATTTGCTTATTGGAGGTATATACTGTGGAAATGCATAACGACTGTTTTGCAATTTTTGACAAATATTATTTACAAAATTATATTTCGACATAACTGGTGCGTTATGGCGAATCATCTTAGTGCAATCATTGCAAAATCGTCGCCAATCATGATGCCATTTTTGTGCAATATTTTCACAAAAGTACCTATTAGAGTACACGCATTGTAGCAATGTTACTATAAAAATTTTACTAATACACCCAAATATTTTTTAAAGACAACAATCTTTCATTTCTTTACACTTTTTACACGCAATTACGATAAGATTTACATAAACTACATCAAAATGTTTACTTATTTTTTTGAATCTAAATTTTTTTCTTTTTTGAAACTTTGTGGTTATTCTTCTGATGCACAAGTATGACAATTTTCTTGATAATTAAATTGTACATTTATAGATACTAAAATATACAGGTAATAAACGCGTCACATTAGTAAAAGCGTAGAGTAGCTTGAAAATGGTCGTAGACATATTTTATGTGTTCCTGTTCTTGAACGCAGCAATACATGCGTTTTTTACTTATGTCCACGAGTCAATCGAGTGAACAAAGTGCTATATTCTCGCAATTTATAGTTCCAAAGTAAGAGCGAGCTTCTTTTTTATTCGTGTAACACACATAAAGTAAAAAGCAGTTGTGCCTTGATTTAATGTACCTTTTTAAACTTAATTTCAAGCAGAACTGACGCGTTAGTCACATTCTGTAATTGTTAGAAGCAAGCGATTTAGTACTTGTCATACAAGTGAATGAAAACGACAACAAATAGTTAGAATGGCAGAATTTCCCACTTAGAAACATGTAAAAGTTGCACGAAGTCGCAAACTTGAAAAATAGAATAAATGAGGACTTAATTGGAAGTTAAATTTGTAAACCATTTTTTTCATGTTTTGTCGTTTTTTTCATTTTTACGAATTGCTATATTCCTCGCTTTAAAGGAATACGGATTGTAAACAACGCATCATATTTTGCTGAAATGTATCTTGAAAAACTTTAAGGAATAAAACTTTCCAGGCGTCATATAATTAAATGTGGCACCATATCATAGACATTTACAAACCACTTTATCAAACCAGTTTATCAAACCACTCATCTATTTTGGTAGATGTAGTTTTACTAGAGATATATGTAAGTGTTTTATATACCTCAAGATTAATAAAGACATTATTTTACTTATTTACATAACACACTGTAAATATGCTCATTTTTCTTAATCTCCAATTTTGTAATGCTTTGTATAAAAATCTTTCCTTCTATACTATGGTGTTTTTTAAAAGGAAATAATCTTTGTAAACTACTTTATGTATATTTATAGTTCCTTAAAACACAAGTCCTTGAATTACCAACAAGAATAATATTATTTAATAGATTTAGTGACATAATGGTATAATATACCATTACTCGTGACCAGCATCTATCATTTATCAAAATAAATAATTTTATAAACAGAAATATTTATCTTATATGTATTACAATATTATTCTTCACTACTCAATTTTTAAGCATCCAGCAGTTCTGTAAAGTAAAAACAAGTAGAGGTTCAATAGGATTTCTATAAAATGATATTGTAACGATATCTACGATACGATTTCTACGATAGAAAGTACCACACACTGCTAAGCAACCTGTTACCAGTTCTAATATGTGTTCATACTGTACAAACGGATAAAATTCGAGCAAGTACGATTTTTTACCATAATTCATAATCCAGAGCGATGTATCTAATATTAGTCTCGATAATCTCTGACAATGTCTATGACAAAAATCTCACAACAAGATTTATTGTACAAAATGAAAAATATATACGAGAATCGAATAATACGTATTTCAAACGACTGTATTGTGACAAACTATCATACAAACACTGTTGTGCGATAAAAGAACCTATGCTTAACATTTGTAATTCTGGAGAATAAAACTTGTCAACAACATCAATGATTTAGTAATCGAAGCTGAAATTGAGAAGAAAATCTTATTACTACGCATATAGACAAAAAATTGGTTAAAGTAGAGATAACAAAACACACATTAACAGCCAATTGCTGTGGAGTGGAAAAGATTTCTGCTCGCATGAAATATGCGCAAAACGGACAAGTTATCATCTATTTTCTCGACTTAAACTCAGTATACTATGACTATCTATGTAAACGATACCTAACTGTATCGTTTTGAATATTTCTTAATCACATCAAGAAAAAAAATAACACAAATAAAAATAATTCTATCACATTGTATTATATGAAGCTGAATGTCACTCGGTAATTCAAGAAGATTTCTTGTTTGCTTCTGGTTGCTTTTGTTTTCTATCACTCTTTACTTCGATTTCTGTATTACTGCTGGTTTTTTTTTTTTTAGATTTTCCTTCAAAAACAGTAAAAGATTTAAAATGTAGTCTGGATTTACTTGTACTTTTAGTTTTGCACCTATCTGAAAATCAATTACAAATTAGAAAGTAGGAAAAGAAGCACATTTACATCTCAAGACTGTTAATAATTGTGTTTGTGATAAGCTTACGTTTAATACAATTAATGTAACGGTAACTGTTGCATCACGTGTAACAAAACGTGAAGATTATAATCGACTTCAGGACGCGTAACATACGTGTATATATATCTTTGTCACACGAACTGAACACGTTCAGTCAAGTCCGAGACATAAACTTTCTGTTTAATTGTTACCTGTTATCTGTACCAAAACTTCTTACTCGAGTCTATACTGTCCTATTTTAACTGCCAGGTTTATTATTTTTGATTCATTAAATGGTTGATTCATTAAGTGGTTACTTTTGGTTTAGTGCACTTATGGCTCAGTGGATTTGTAAAGCTAGTTTATACGCCATTCAAAAATTTGTAAATTTTATTTCCGTTCGAGAAAGTGTCGTAAAATACTCCTTGCTACAACGGTTCTACAATTTAGAATGCGTTCTGTCTGATTCTTATTTGGAAAAGTTTGTGCACAATGCAAAAGAATAGCGATAGCAATTCGCAATAAACACAGAATTTCAAATCGTCGAAATATTTATCGCCATTGTTTATTCCGTTTTCTGATTTGGAATGATACATGTGTATTTTTGAATGTTAAATTTCGTTGTTTTTATTGATAGTTATAAATACGAACCTTATAAAGCCGATGTTTGTTTTCTCGTTATCGTTATTTTTTCGCATAGTGCAAGAGGCGTAACACCACAAGGCGTTCTTTGTGTACTAGCGTTTCAGTAAATCGGTGATATGCACGCTTCATTCAATTTTTGCAGTTCAATGTTCGCCTAAACGACAGCCATGTTCACCATTACTTTGCTGATCACCATTAGTCCTGGTAAGAGTTTGAATACACTTGTCGCGTGTCGCGAAGTCACACAGCAGGGCGATAATCAAAATGCATTTTTTAAATGGATGATCACATTGTGGAATTGTGTGATGATTACTGACAGTGAATATCAAACCGCAGTCAAAAGTAATCATGGTTTAGTTTTGAAACCTATAAACCAGCATGTACAAATTACAACCAACGCGAAAAAAAAAATATATTATGTAACATTACTTAATCATATATGATTTAAACTAAAGGTTTTAATCTTACATATCTTGTATAAATTGTAAAATTATATTTACAGTACATATATAATATATACAACCTATAATATAACAGTCAGAGAAAGTATAAAGGTAACTATTTTTCTAATAACGTTATTATTTTACTCAGCTTTACGACTTGTCATATTTGTGGTCGATTCTTTCTCTTTAATGTGACAGGATCAAAAGTTTGCTTACAACAAGAAAACACTGTTGTGTGTTTTATATTTGGTTTTATTTTCATTATTACGTTTACAAATTACACGACAGTTGTTATAATGCAAACAATTTATGGCTACTTTTTTAAGCTGATATACATACATTTTAAGTTTATTCTAAATTAATCATAATTTCTCACAGTAGTCTGTAAACAAGTCGCGTCTACAGACTCACATAATAAT